AAAGTTCCCAGCTACAAACAACGAGGCAGAATATGAGGCAGTATTAGCAGGACTCAAAGTTGCTAGAGAACTCCAAGTAAAAAATCTACAAGTTTATAGCGATTCACAACTTGTGATCAGGTAAGTGACAAGAAATACACCCCCTAAAGAAGAAAGGATGAATGCATACAAAGAATAGGTGGAGAAAGTAACAAAGAATTTTGACACGATCAAATTCAATCAAATCCTAAAGGAGAAAAATCCCATTGTTGACCACCTGGCTTGCGCAGCTTCTGGCACGGATGACTCGATGATTCAGATCATACATATAAACATCCTAGATACGCCAAGTATTGTGAAGCCTCTATAAGTGCTAGTCATTCCAAGGGAGCCAAGCTGGATGGACCCAATTCTGGCCTACCTGGAAAGAAGAACTCTCCCCAATTCAAAAAAAGCGGTATGACAGATCAGGCTAAAATGCCAAATACTCGATCATTAGCGGCGAGCTCTTCGGAAGGATATTCATAGGACCTTACTTAAGATGCTTAACCCCTATGGAAGCAAGGGAAGTCCTAAAACAACTGAATGAAGGAGAGTGCAACAATCACTTCGGAGGAAGATCAATGGCTTCAAAGCATTGACTTCAGGTTATTTTTTGTCGTATATGGCAAGAGAAGCCGAAGAGTATTCTAGAAGGTGTGACTAGTACCAATGGCATACACCACTCATACACCAGCCTCTAGAGGATCTCCACACCATGGGATGCCCATAGTCATTATCTCAATTGGGGATGGACGTGGTAGGTCCTCTGCCTGCAGCTACATCCCAGAAGAAGTACGTCTTGTTAGCCACTGATTATTTTACTAAATGGGTAGAAGCGAAGGCATACGTAAGCGTAACCAATGTCAGGTCCAAAAATTCATATGGAACAACCTGATATGTAGGTTTGGGATCCCACGTTCAATCATCATGGACAATAGCAAAAACCTGGCTAATCAAAACACAAAACGATTATTCGACAAGTAAGGGATCAACCAAAAGCTGTGAGCAGTATACCATCCTCAGGGAAATGGACAAGCAGAAATAACCAACATGACAATTTTCGCAAGTATCAAGATGAGGCTCAATGAAAATAAGGGAAAGTGGTTGGACGAATTGCCCAAAATTCTTTGGGTATTTCGCACCACCCCGAGACGTCCAACAGGCGAAAACCCCTTCGGTTGGCTTATGGAACCGAAGTTGTAATAGCCACTGAAATAACAACTCTAACCATTTGAAGCCTAACGTGGGGACAGGAGATGAATAACCAGCAGTTGGAGCACAATTTGGACCTCCTAAAAGAAGTGAGAGAAATAGCAGTACTCAGGCTAGCCGCTTCTCAACAAAAATTGGTGAATAGCTACAACAAAAAGGTCAGGCACAAAAGCTTCAACCCGGGCAACCTCGTGCTAGTGAAGGTAAAAGGATATGTGGAGAAATTAAAGTTAAAATGGAAAAGGCCATTTTGAGTTTTAGATGTGATTGGCAAAAGTGCTTATAAGCTTCAACACTTAAATACGATCTTTATTTGTGCTTTTTACGGCCATTATGGTCCCTCTTAATAAAAAAAAAAAAAGTGTTTTCTCTTTCTTCCAAAACAAGTTATGTCCCACATCAAAAAAAGTAAGCCATTTTTATGTTAATTAATCATGGCCCATTAACTGTAAAATTGCTAAGGAGTGTCCATTGATAATGACAAGCTGTTATTAGTGGACACTCCTTGCAACCCCTTTTGGCCGAAACACAAAAACAAGGCCCACACCCAAAATAATAATAATAATAATAATAAATTAATAAAACCGAATAGCCCCAAACACCGGCTGCAACAAAAGGCAAAGGCCTGAAAATGTAAAGGCCGAAAATCCGAATGGCCCCATGTGCCGTGCCGATTGCATCAAAAGATAAAGGCTCGAAGAGCCGAACACCAAATCAAAACTCTAAAAAAATTTGGCCAAGTCCAAAAAAGCCGAATAGCCACAAGTGTCGATCACATCAAAAGATAAAGGCTCGAAAAGCTGAATGCCATATCTTCCATTTCAATTGTTTTTTTTTTTTTGCTAAGTCTAAAAGAGAGCCAAACAGTGACAAGACAAAATGAAACACCACTCCAAACAATAACCTACACACGAGGCCATAAAATGATCAAAAGAAGTTCATTATGGTCCCATTCAAAAAGAAGCAGGATATATCTTACGCTCTACAAAAAAAAAAAAAAAAAAAAAAAAAAAAAAAAAAAAAAAAGGAGCTCCCTACGATTGCTCCACATGAGCTCCACATTCCTTGGTAAAGGAACTATCACGACCCCGAATTTTCTAATAAAATCCTCAATTTTATACAAATCAAAATACACCCAGGATCATAAAAAAATACCCTCTTTTATACAAAATCAATTTCCTCAAATATACCCAAAATTCTCCAATTAAATAAAATAAATCATCCACGCCAACTCTTCAGCCTAAGCCCGAATCTACGATCCCCGTCTATCTTCGGTACCTGAAACTGGAGGGTGGTGAGACAAAAAGTCCCAGTAGGAAAAACCATAACAAGAATTTCATGGAGATTTAACAAAACAGCTTCACAAAATAAACATATACAGGTAAGTATAAACAAAATACATATGCATTTAATTAAAACATTTAATAAAAACATTTAATCAAAACCATTGAAGCAAAACCACTCCAAGCCATTCAAGGTATAGGGAACCCTACACTGAAGATGATATATTTCCTCATTGGATCATCAAGTTACCAAGCTTCTAACCTCTTTTACAACTCTCGGCCCTCTCTGCCCTCGAACACTTTGTCTTTCTCTCGGCTCACTTTTATTTCTCTCTTCTTATATCTTTCCAAGGTCACAAAGCTGATACAAATTTATAAGCAAGGCAACCCACCGGCTCAATCACTGCTCACATAAATATCAGTTTAAAGGATAATAAACCCCGCCAATGGACCCTGCCACTTCCTCCTTATCTCTTACCTCTTCATTCAACACTTAACAAGCAAACATCAATCACCAAAACCAAAGCCACGTGAAGAAAAATCAAGACCAAAAGAATATGGTCAAGAAAGTCTTCGGTGGGACCCGGCCCATTATCACCTTTACAATTCAATCTTTTCTCACCAACTTCAGCTGGACCTTATCTCTTCTAGATGCACCTAATGTATATATAATATGTATATATAATTGTAACAAAAACTAATTCAATTGCTTATATCTTTCTTCGTGGGCCGTGTGTACACATCATCACAATATATATGTATTTTGTTATATATATATATATATATAACAAAATACAAACCCACATTTCCTTTTTGTCTCTAAATTTCATCCGGTGCCTATTTCGCTCCCTTTCATAAAAAAAATACAATAGATATATAAATATATATATATTATATAACAAAACTAAATTAAATTTAAAAACCCACTAACTTTAATAAATAAATAATTAATTTAGACGGTCTAAAAATCATAAAATAATTAAATTAAAATTTTAAAAATTCGGATCATCACAGAACCAGTAAAAACATCCACAATTCTCACCCCAAAAGGCTTCTTAAAAAACAAGGAAGCATCAATTGCCAGGACAAGGTCAGCCACTGAAGAAAAAGGGTACTGAACCGGGGGTAAAACTTCAAAGGAAGAAACCCCTTTTAGAAGCTTGGTAAGTACTTTTTTCATTAGCCCTAGTAGGAGGCTCAGTGTACTCACAGAGACCTTGCTCCGCATCATGTTCATCAGCATTAACATATTCCCTCACCTTAGCAGGAAGGGAACCCTAAGAAAATCCAAAATGAAACCCCTTGGCATAGCCGATGTCAGCGATTTAGGAGAAGCGCTGGAACATCTCCAAGCCACCATCCTTTGAAGATCTATAACTTAGAGTTAGCTTTGGAATGTTACAGCTCTAGCTCAGCAGCTTTCTTTTCCATCTTTCTGGCACTCTTGCCAAAGAGCTCAGTCGTCTTGTAGCTCTCTTTGCTCTCCCTCTAAGCATTCTTAAGTAAGGCCTCAAGGGAGTCAACTTTCTTTTGAAGGGCCTCGGTTTAGCTGACTTGAAGGGAGTCAGCAAAAAGCCTCTTCAAAAAAAAAAAAAAAAAAAAAAAAGTTCTGCAGAGGACTAAGACAACGTCAAAATCAACGAAAGAAATAAAAATACATAGGAAGGCAAAAAAAGCAGGACAAAATTCATTACCTCCAAGATGGATTGAGGAGCAAGAGAGAGGAGGTCGTTAACACTTATCTGTTGCTGAAGAATTTCATCTCTGGGTGGAAACAATCCTCAAGCCAAACCCATCATATTCTCAGGATTCTCGACCTCAAAATCACCAATGGTGATGGCAGAACAGTTGGCCTTCAGCATTTCAGGGAACCACTTCTTAGTGGACCCCGCAAAATCATCATCGGTAGTACCAGCGGCAACAATAACGCCAAAAAGAGAGCCTTTGTCCTTAAAACCCAAGCCATGAGCTTGGGGATGCTTTGAAGCAGAGGCATCCTTCGGCAGATAGCGCTTAAGTGCCAGCTCAGACGAAATCCCCTTCTGCTTTTGAGAAGTGGGGGTCTTGCTCGCCTCAAGGAGCACGTTTATCCACTCCTGAGCCAGTTTCGCAGCTAGCTCTCTCTCCTTTTTAGAAAGATAAAACCTAGGAGAAGAGAGCTCCATCGTTGATTCAAAGAGAATGATGAATGAAGGTAACATGTTCAGCCTTAGGATCAAAATCCCCCAATATCAATGGGCTCCTCTAGATTTTGGATGACAAGAGGAGGATTCTTGGAAATAGTTTCAAGCAGGGATGAGGAGAGAATAATTCTCGCATATGAGACGTTGTTCCAAACATTCACCTATAGTTACTTAAGCATTAAATCTTTAAATTTAGAAGGAATTAAATCAGTTTTGTGACCCAGGAAAAGATAAATAAAGCAAAAAAAGCTTGACTACACAAACAAAGCAGGAGGACTCGCCGGAGTTGTCAAACGCACCGATGGAAGAGGTATGAAAGCTTGACCGAACGAGAAAATATTGAAGAGACGAAGGTTGTTAGGAACCCCCAACCTTAACAATCTTTTCCCTCCACTCTTTATCAGGAGAATTAAGGCTCGAAAATAGGGCCCGATTGGTTCAAGTATGGAAGTGATACCTACCCTCATTATCCCTGATTCTATTTACCAAGTAACAGAAGAGAAGATCGGCAAAATTTAGAGACAACCCCCTGACGCAATTCAAGTCTAGAAGACATGAGAAGATATGAAAGAAATTAGGGTTTACTTGAAGGGGGACCAAATTGAGAACGAAAAAGACCCGAAGATAGAATGGGTTCAAGGGAAACCTAAAAGTAGATAAATGATCGGCCGAGAAAAGCATCTTGCCTCACCGGTACTAAAATTCAGATGATAAAGGTATTCATTAATAGAAACGCCTACTGGGATTTTGTTCTTCTTTCTCAATTGAAGAATAGAAATAGACTTCATCTCCACTATATCAACAAGAAGAATGATATGACCCTCAGAACGTTGGCCACTCATACCAATCTCAAACGTTCCCGAACCCAACTCTGAAACCCTAGCATTCAATGTGCGACTGCTACTCTCTTGACTCATGATAATGAAGTGGGGCAGGAAAAAATACAGCGAAACAGAATGAACAAAGATCGCTGTAAGAAGGGACTTCTTAGGCCAAAAGTTATTCTCTTTATGCAGAGCTCCAAGATGACGACCCAGCGCATATATATATGCACATGGGCGGTGAACGTGTGAATGGAAAATGATTGTATGATGCCTAAAGATACAACCCCCCAAAAAAGGCAATGATGAACATTAACATACATAAACCACTCCACTTCCAAAGACAGTTACAATTACTTGCATGAATTAGATTTATAAAAGGAATTGGGGGCAAAGTATGAAGGAAAATTTTTCCACCACTCACAAAATGCCACATGGCAGTAAACCAAATAATAGGGCCGGCCAAATGCATTGGGCCGAAGAAAGAAACCTAAGACATGTTAATCAGTCAAAAGCGCAGAAGAAACACACTAGGCATTGATTTGGCCCAAAGAAGTAAGGATCAGCCTAGCAAGCCCAAATATGAAGCAAGATCAGCCCAGCAAGCCCAAATATGAAGCCTTGCACGGCTAAGAGTAATGCCACCAGCAAATCACAAAGAATCAGCAAAAAATTTAATCTATATATGTAACATACAATAACGGTTCCAAGAAAGTCTCATTGTATAAATATAAAAACAAAGCACAAGACCCAAAATAGCACAGACCATTCTCGGCACTATTAGCCCTTGTTCTTCCTTGATCTCTTTCTCTTTTATTTACTGACTAATTGTATTCTCAATGAGTGTTTGAGCATATAATTCTTCTGATTGAACTGTCACGTTCGGTCAGAAATTTTATGCACTTACACTATGCTACCCTTTTGACCTTCTGTTGATTTGGGAAAAGTGTATTTAAATTTTTTCGTGACAAAAATACGCCCAAGTGACCATAGAGGTAGTTGTGTCCATGCAACCATATAACTGTTGCCTTTGAAGCAAAAATAGAGCCGTTGAAAATTGTTGTTGGACTTACAAAAAAAAAAAAAAAAAACTCTTATTTATTTCTTAGGGGTGAGCAAATAATCCCTCAATCCGGTCCGAACCAATCCGATCCATGTGGTTTGGTTAGGTTTTCAAATCTCATGGTTCGGTGATGGGTTAAAAAATCTGCAATCCGGTGTCCGCGGTTCGGTTAACGGATTGGAGGCTAAAAAATCCAATCCGAATCGAACCGTTGCCAATCCGAACCGTTATACAAACCGAACCGATCCGTTAGTAAATAATATATTAATATATATATATATATATATTAATATAATGATATATCGTATTTGTTTTTTGTTTTTTTCTTTATTCATTATTTTTTAATGTTAACCTAACCCTAACTCAGCCTCGTCTCTTCATTACGACATTACTCCAAGTCTCCAATCTCATTTCAGACTTTTAGTTGCGCCTCCCTCACAGCCTCTTCTCTTCACCCTCTTCGCCTCTCCCAATCTCTCGCCTCTGTGAGTCTGTGACACTTTTCGCCTCTCCCAATCTCTCGCCTCCCAATCTCTCGTCTCAACCATCATTCACCAGATTCGAAGCAACGGTGACCTCTGTGTATCGAAGCAACGACAACCTCTTCGACTGGATCTACCTCTTTTCCGATGAGTTTACAAGATTTTTGAATAGATCTTCTTATTCTCCTTTTCTCTAAACATTTTTTACATAGATCTACTTATTCTCCTCTTCTCTGAACATTTTTTACATGGATCTACTTAATTTTATGACTTTATCTACATATTTTAATTTTTTACGTGGATCTATTTAATTTTATGATTTTGTATAGAAGTTCCTATAAGTTCCTGCTAGTAACCATATTTTAATTTTTGTTTTGTATAGAAGTTCCTGTAAGTTACCAAATATTTTACTTAATTTTTTGTAATGATTTTATCTAATATATATATATATATATATATATATATATATATATATATATATATATATATATTTGTTACTTTTAGATTTAAGTTACCAAATATGAGATAACAGTTTTGAAAGATATTGATCATATTTCGTAGATAAAATAGATAAACATTTTTGGTATTTTTTGTAATATGAAATACCAAAAATAAAATTTTAATTTTTGTTTTGTATAGAACATTTTTTGTAATAATTTTATTTCTGTATTTTTTTATGAATTTAACGTCCAGTATTTCAGTTTCGTAGATAAACAGTTTTGATATTTTTTATTTAAATTTTTTTTTTATGTAGAAAGTTCTAAATCTAATTATTATCACTCATCTTGTTTTGGAACATTTCTGTCCACTTATATAATTACTTATCAATTTATCTCTAGAATATGATTCATTATAAATACTTTTTTTCTTTTAAGGCTGAATTTTCTATTGTTGCTGTGATCTAGCAATCTTCCACTGATTTACATATCTCACTGTTCCACTTATTTACATACATGTTTAATTCTCACTGTTGTTGCTGTGAAATGGCAATCTTTCACTAATTTTTTATAACAATTTCTTTTCCTAGCAGATGATAACTGCAGAAGATACTAATGTTCCAAGGCCTGAAGTTACTGCTGCTGGCACCAATGATGATGATTTAAACATGTAGGTATGTCCTACCAAAAAACGTTTCATATCTGATGTTTGGGACCATTTCACAAAAGAGAAAGGCCCTAACTGTACTAAGTCAAAATGTAATATGAAATGCAACTATTGTAGTGCATCTTATTCATGGTCTAGTGGAAATGGGACAAGTACATTGAGGAACCACATAAGTAGATGCCAACAATATCCATTTAATGTTGACAAGAAACAAAAACACATTTCGTTTCAATCAACTACTGAAGGAGAGGGTGTTATGGTTTCTTGGAAATTTAATCAAGAGTTGTGTAGACAAGCACTTACTAAAATGATTATCATTAATCAATTACCTTTCAAGTTTGTTGAGTGTGAAGGTTTTCGTTATTTTCTTAGTGTCTTGCAGCCAAAATTCAAATTGTTGTCACATTTTACTGTGGTTAGGGACTGTTTGAAATTGTATGCTATAGAAAAGAAGAGGTTGAAAACCTTAGTGAATCAACTCAATCAAAGAATTTGTTTCACCACCGATATATGGACGTCAATTCAAAATCTTTCTTATATGTGTCTCACGGCTCATTTCATTGATAAGAATTGGACCTTACACAAAAGAATTCTGAATTTTTGTATAATACCTAGTCACAAGGGTAAGGAAATTGGTCGTGCAGTTGAGACTTGTTTGCTGGATTGGGGTATAGACAAATTGTGCACACTCACAGTTGATAATGCTAGTTCAAATGATCTTGCAGTTGCATATTTGAAAGAAAAGAAGCTTGCTAGGAATGTTGGCTCTTTCCTTTTAGGTGGTGAATGTTTTCATATGAGGTGTTGTGCACATATATTGAATTTGATTGTGAAAGATGGTTTGAGTGATGTAAATGGTTCAATAGTTCGAATTCGTGAGGCTGTGAAGTATGTTAGGAGTTCTCCATAACGGGGAGAGCGTTTTCAAACATGTGTGAAGAGGGAGAATATAACATTTAAGTCACATTTGTACCTAGATGTTTCAACTAGATGGAATTCCACATACCTTATGTTAGAGGTGGCCGTAAAGTTTCAGAAAGCTTTTGAAAGGTTAGAAGATGGTGATATTCAATTCTTACCGAAAGTTAATAATAAAATTCCTTCTAGTACTGATTAGGAATATGCTCGAGTTTTGATTGCTTTTAAAAAAAAAAAATTATGACGCCACAAACAAGCTTTCCGGATCTTTGTTTGTTACTTCCAATAGATATTTTCATGAAGTGTTCGGAATTGAAAAGTCGTTAAATACATGGTCAAAGAGTCCCGATATTTGGTTAAGTAATATGGCATCAAAAATGAAAATTAAATTTGACAAATATTGGGGAAGCATTGAAAAAGTGAACATGTTGGTGGCGCTTGCGGTTGTGTTGGATCCTCGTTATAAATTGGAATTTGTGGAATTTTGCTATTCCCAACTTTATTCTCTTGAAATGGTTCAAAACCTTAGTAAGAAGGTAATGGATACATTCAACCACATTTTTAGTGAATATGCAAAGTTTCATGCACTTACTTCAAGCTCTAGTGGAACAAGTAATATTGCAAATGAGGTGGGAGTTGATGATGGAAATGTGGAAGATGATTTTTCCTCTTTGTACATAAAGCGTAAGATACAAAAAGAAAGTTCTACTCCCAAGTCGAAAGTGGAAAAATATTTGGAGGAAGCTTGTGAAGATGTTGTTCCAGAATTTGACATCTTGAATTGGTGGAAGGTGAACGGAAGCAAGTATAAAATACTTTCTAAAATTGCAAGAGATATTCTACCTGTTCCAGTCTCTACTGTTGCTTCGGAGTCTGCTTTTAGCACTGGAGGTCGTGTGCTTGATCAATTCCGTAGTTCTTTAACTCCAAAGCTTGTGGAATGCTTAATTTGTACACAAGATTGGTTACAAGCTTCACCAATACCAATTGATGTTGAAGAAAAGTTGGACGAACTTGAACAATACGACTCTGGTAAGTGTTAACAATTTGTTATATTTTATTCAATTTATGAATAAATATCATATTGTGGATTTTTAATTAAATTATGTTATTTTGTAGATGTGACTACAGTTTCAGATTCAGATTGAGAGCTAGCCTTGCTTGCTACCATTTTCAAACTTGTTTTGCTACCATTTTCAGACTTGATATGCTGCCATTTTCAGACTTATTTTCCTGCTAGTCAAGACTGTTGTTTGATGTTTTATTGTGCTATTTTTTTTTTATGCTAATGAGCTACTGGGCTACTATTTAAGTATTTTGTTTTGTTCTATTTAGATAATTTGAATTTTGTACTGTAATATTATTTTCACTTCTGGATAATTTACAATTTTTTTTTGTTATTAGGTAATTTAAGTTTGTAGTGGTATTTATATGTGCCAAATATATTTTGAAATTTTATTGCTGTTATATAAATCTATTGATGTTATAATTGTTATTAGGTATATGGATTAACAAATCTAATATATTGCTGATAATGGGCCATAATTGAATGCTGATAATGGGCCATAATTAAATGCTGATAATGGGCCATAATTGAATGGGTTGTTTGAAAAGGCCAATCAGCCCAATCCGGGGAACCGATCCGATCCGATCCGTTAACTCACGAATCGGTTTGGTTCAGATTGAATGCCCCCACGGATCGGTTCGGTTTCAGTTTTAACCAATCCGTGGGGACCGATTCGGCTTGGGATTTATCCCCAAACCGAACCAATCCGAACCGTGATCAGGCCTATTATTTCTTCATTGCTTACATATTTGAAGCTAATGAACATGCAGGAAGGTTTGCATGCTTGAGGACTAAAAGGAAGGTTTGCAATATTGGTAAGGAAGCTGTTACAATCTCTTTTTCTTTTCTTTTTTTTTTAACCTTTAAAGCAATTGGTAAGGTTTGTGTTGGCCCTAATGACACAGTTTGCTCTTTCAAGGTCAATTGTACGTATGCTTACTCACACAGGTCCATTTCTGGTATAGATATCATCTCTGGTATTGTTACTCACACAGGTCTGCTCTTATTGATTCTGATTTGTTAAAGGATAGTTTAGCGGCTTCCTGCATAATTCAGATTATTTCATATACAGTAATAATGGTGCAATGTGTCTATAGGTCAACTTCTTGATCAATTATGGTTCTGATTGTGAATAGCATGTGAAGATTGATCACAGGCCTTATTAGGGGCAATTCAGTCATTTCAGTGATGTATATGATCATATTATATTTGGTTGAGATGTTACATTATACTTGGAAGCTCAGGTTTTCAGTTTTCAAATTTCTCAAGGCCCTAAAATGTGGATCAAACAGTTTACTGACAAGTGTCCCTCTAAAGGGTATTATGGTCTTTTTAACAGATGAACAAATGGTTGACACGTGTACAGTGATCGTGAGAGAATGTAAGGCCGAATATTCAATCCTTTAGCTCCAAGGCTCAACCACTCACTCTACAGGTGGTGCATATGCTGTTTGTTAAATGATTTGTGTATGTGTGTGAATAAGGACAAACATGGTGGCCTAAGCAAGATCTAAGTCACATAACGGAGGAATTAGAGCACATACGTGAAAGTCTAAAATTAGATAAGAGCGGAGCATGTATGAGAGCGCATGTATATAATATATTTTATGTTATATATATATATATATATATATATATATATATATATATATATATATATATAATTTTTTGTTTTAAATCCAAGTGATGTTAGAACTTATAAAATGCCCACATAGAAGGCCCAGACCCACCCTACTAACATTAAGATTTCCAAGCCACAGCGGATCCAAAGGAAGTAGTGGCTGCAAAAACTTTCCGAGAGAAATGGCAATCAAAGAATAGGTGGGAGGAACTTTCTGAGTATCTACTGCATAAAATGCACTGGTCTCGATGGACCACACCATCCCTTCTGCAACAGTAAGTTCATTAGCACTACAAACTATTTCTAATATGTTTAAGGTCATATAGCATGTAAAAGGCCACAAATTTGAATGCAATGACTTCAAGTGGTAATGCACAAGATCTTCTTATATGTCTCAAGAGGATCTTATATGATACAAGAATATAAATAGACAATCTTCTTATTATATTATCAAAGAATAAACATCAAAACAAGAGTGTTCACATATTAGCAGATATCTATAAATTCAAAGCACCAAACTCTAAAAATATCTTAGAACAATACACTATTTCAACCCTCAAATGACACTGCCCAGTTATCAGACTTGAATATCATACTCATATCTCATCCTAAGTTCTTTTTTATTTTGCTTAAGGCACATCCATCCCTTTAAATGATTGTAATATCAAACTTCCCTTGAGCCCTCAAGTCCATTAATTTTTTTTCTTACTCATTAGGTTAAGGCAGTATTTAAGTATAGGGTAAAGTACACTAACACCCCTTGAGGTTTGCTAAAAGGACACACAGATGAAACTTATCCCATTTTTGGACAATGACACCCCCTCAAGTTTGATACTTATACCAAAGACACCCCAATGATAATGAATTGACATTTTTGCCCTTTGACTTTTATATTGACCAATTTCAATATTGAAATTACCTATCTAACCTCCTCTGCAAACCCATTCTTTCCGCAATGTAAACTGAATACTCTGTATGAGATACTGCTAGTTCTGGAAATTGATATTGGTTATTTTCAGAAGAATTTTGGAATAAAGATTATATAATGAACTTCTACAGGTGATGTGTAATTCATAGTAACAGCATCAGTGAATCACAAATTCAAGCTTGATATAGGGTTTTCTCTTTACCTGGACCTTGCTGTTTGTTTTTTTATTTCAGTGATCACAGTTGTTTTAAGTATTGATGATTAAATTTAGCACAGTTTGTAGTCATAACTGTCATATGTATCAAATTGCCAAGATTGAAATTGCATGGAAAAAGATTTGAGAAGACCTTTTTGGTTCTATTGTGCACAGTAAACAGTAAAGTTTTAGAGAGATCGGACAAAAATGGGATCTAAGGTTGGATATGGTTTCGAACTTCCTTTTTTTTTTCTTTATTTTTTTTTCTCCAGTCAGCTGTTAAATAAATGGTGCTGCTCATAAGTTTGTGCCTAACTCTGTGTGTGCTTTTTTTTCACCAATTAAATGAACCAAATTTAACCTCCAAGCTTAAATAAAAGTGACCTAACCAACAACGAGCTGGTGAGATATGACGAAGGACTGAATAGCTGTTCTCGTTATTGTGACATATCATTTGCAAGATTGAAGTAGTAAATTTTTAAGTGGATTCATTGATCCACATAATTTTATAGGATTGGGAGAGCAATTTGTTCCATGCCATCTAGATGATGGATGATTGTTTCACTGATATTCGCTTTTGTTGCACAAAGTATACAACATCCAAAAGTTCCTCTTTCCAACACCAATAGTTTACATTGCCGACGACGACCTCAAACACAACACCAACAGATCCACTGCTTTGAGCTCCGATTGGCCGACGGTGGAATCGCTTGGTGCCTTCATCTCCCTTCTTCATTGCCTATTATACCGGCGAGATCGTGGCGGTTGTCAAGTCCGACAAGAACGTTGAGACCTTCTGCGGCCAAGTAGCCGCCATCATAGTTAATGAGGGCGACGTCGGAACAGCCATCGCCGAAACGGAAGACGAACTCGACCAAACCAAATCAAAGGCCTCTTGTTCATCGTCAGATTTGATTCACCGGTGCAATTCATCCCGCCGTAGCTTCCGCTGCCTCCTTGTGTTTGTATATACATATATGCGTATATAAAGTATTGGAAGGGTGAAGGGGCGGCTGGTGTTGGCGCGGCAAGAGAATGCAGATGTTGTCTCGCCACCACCGTACTCATCCTTCACCGGACAGTTTCACTGCCGGAGTATAGAAAGAGAGAGGAGGGGTAATTACAGGAAGGAGTAATATATATATATATATATATATATATATATATATATATATATATATATATATATATTTGCACAAATGGGTATATGTGTCTATATCGGTGTATAGAGAGAGAAAGGAGAAGGTCAATTAGGTCATTTAACTGTTTTTGATATTTTGTTATTAAAATTAATCAAATGATGTAGGGCAAATTAGACCTTTCACACGTTTTTAGGCTATGTTTGGCTGTCAAATTTAACAAGGGGGTGTCATTGTCCAAAAATCGAATAAGTTTCATCTGGGTGTCCTTTTGGCAAACCTCAGGGGGTGTTAGTGTACTTTACCCTTAAGTATATTAGTACGACTTACCCATTATCAAGTATTCTATCAACTTGAGACTTCTACATATGAAGATCAGTTAGTCGCATTCAATCAAACGTGTTGAGGATGGAAGACAGGAAGTGGACTTGCTTTCCATTAACAAATTAAATAATTATAATAATTTCAATATTCAAACCAAAAAAATAAGTTACAGCTCTCACAAGTTGCCACAATTTTTCACGGAATAGAAAAGAAAGAGTTATAAAATCTCTTTAACATATGTATATACGTATATCTAATGCACATATAAAATTACATCAGAAAGAAACTCAAATTAAACTCAGTAGCCTTTTCGTCATTACTTTCTTTCAAGTTTTAAACACGGCATGAAGAAACCTCTTTCGGTTTTTCATTTTAAGCACCAAAATGACAACCAACTCTACAATTAATCCATAAATATGGACAAGAACCAAATCTAAATTCGGCCACAACAAAAATCCAGCTAACCAAATCAAACCCAACCAACAAAATCGAAAATAAAACCAGCAAAAATAAATAAAGGCAATTTGGAGCTATCTTTACCGGATCGATAAGAACAGAGTGGATGTTAGAGAGGTTCCTTGTATTTACCATTTAGAAGGGGCAAAAAAACCAGATATCTAAGTGAGCAGGATTGACAATAACCTGAAGAGCTTGATCAACATTGTCACTTGAAAACGCAAGTGCAAGCAGCTAAGGCGAGAGAAAATGTTTGAGCAGAAGTCTATTACAGGGCTGATTTCTATGTAGAGAAAGAGAGAAGGATGTGCGGCTCAAGGAGAGAAGGTAGTAAGGGTTGGGTGAAGGAGATATAATACTTACAATTTGAACCGAGCATTTTTTCTTTTCTTTTCTTTTTCCTCCTAATGATAGGAGT